TGAAAACATCTATAGGTGTGTGCACTCGCATACAGAACCTCAACCTGTCTCATACCTTGTATCAAACTTAACTCAAAATGGATCACAAACTTACATGTGACACTAGAAATTTTAGGAAAAACCTTAAGGAGAAAATTTTTGATATTTACAGCTTGATTTGACACCAATAGTATAATGTATCAAGGTAATATGTGATAAATTGGGCCTTATCAAACTAACAACTTTTTCTCTTATGGATTTTTCCATGTAAGGGAATGCAAAGACAAGCAAGAGAAAATATTTGCAAACCATATACCTGACAAAAGGCTTTATCTAGAATTTGTAAAGCATCTGTAAAGCTCAATACTAGAAAATAAACAACCCAGTTACAAAATGGGCAAAGACGTGAGCAGCCATTTTACTGAAAAGGACATGTGGAGGAAAATCAGTGCATAAAAAAATGTTTAACATCACAAGCTATTGCAGGAATACAAATTAAATCTCTAGCAAGAGCTCACTATACACCTAACAGAATGACTAAAATTTAAAAAAAGTGGGTCCTTTTCAAACATTTTTTCTCATAGTTAACGTATAGTGTAAAACTCTCACTGGTCCTCAGTAAATGTTACCAAAGTCATTGTGGGCTCCCTGTGCACAACTGCGAAGCTTCTAGGGGTTTCTGATTGAAGGAGCAATTTAGACCCTTGGAAGGGGTCTTATTCACCTCCTTCACAGTACAGTCATCTGTTCACTCACAGATCTGGGTTGTTTACAGAAAAGAAAATTAAAAAACAACAACAACAACATTGATATGTTGCTCCCTTGGTATTTTTCTTGGCCAGCAAAACTAAAGACCACGAATGTAATACTATAGGGCTGCAGTCTTAGGGACTCACAGAAGGTCCAAGAAGGAAACAAACAAACAAACAGTGGCAAAAAAAAAGTAGACTTCCTGATTTATAGTTTCACTTAAGAGTCAATAATATAACACTAAAGTAAGTTTCCTGGGTTATTTGAAAATCTTGATCTGTTCATGTGAACTGCATATACAGTAGCTCCCTCTGTATCTATGCATCCAGCATCTGTGGATTCAACCAATTGCAAAAAAATTGGTTTGGGTGAAAAATTTCAGGGTGAAATTGCAAATGATACCTACATATATCCTGTGTCCCCTCAAGTCTCTGCCAGCAAAAAGACCATCACCAGATGGTCTAGACCCTCTGCCATCCAAAAACCCTGCTGCATCTTCTTTAGGCTCAATGCTACCTCCAGCTCACTGAAGGCAGGTGAAAAGGCAGTGAGGCATTAAGGGAGAAGTTTTCTTCATCGTGGACTGCCTATGAATCAGCCAGAGGGTGAGGAAATGTTAGCATCCCAAGCCTGGCATTATGACACTTCTGGAAATCAGACATTGTCAGAAGTTTGCTAAACTCCTATTTCGCAAATGCCTTCTCCAGTATCTGGTGTAAATTGGATAGGATTTTGCCACTGATCTTCGAGCTGCTAGAATGAAGGTGGTGCTTTGCAGTGTTAAATCAAACTAAATTACCCTACACACACACACACACACACACACACACACACACACACACACACACACACAGTATTGATCATGTACAGACTTTTCCCCTCTTGTAATTATTCCTTAAACAATACAGAATAACAACTATTCATACTGTATTAGGTACTGTAAGTCATCTAGAGGCAATTTAAAGTATGTGGGAGGGTGTGTTGAGCATCTTCAGATTTTGCATAAGGTGTGTCCTAGAACCTCCACGGACACCAAGGACTGACGGTAGTGAATAAAAGAACAATTCCAGTTGACCTTTGTGGGTCTGTACAAATAGTCTAGCATGGCCCATCATGTGAATGAACTTTATTTCATTTCTTGCTGCTTTGTGTTGTATTTATTTTGAAGAGATATAAGATTGAAGAAGTGGGGAAGAAACATTTAAAAAGATGGTAAAGCCCTGTATACATAATTTGAAAATATGAATCAAGAGTCATAAACCTGTGGGAGGGGGAAGGTGGTGGGGAAAGAGATAGGAGGAGAATACAGTACAAATAATGTATGCACATGTATGTAGATGCGAAAATGATACCTGTTAACTATTCCAGGAATCAGGAGGGGGGGATGAAAGAGAGCAGTGGAGGGGTGAATTCAAGTATGATATATTTGATACATTGTAAGAACCTTTGTAAATGCCACAATGTACCCCACCCAGCACAACAATAAAAAAAAGTCATAAACATGTTCATAGTATAAAGTAAAAATTCAATGTGGGGGAACTTAACCTAAAAAAATTAAGTTAAAATATGAAAAGGCCACATATACATTATTCATGCAGTCACTGCTACGCTATTGGTGAGAGTAACTTTTGGAAGCAATCTTGATTGCCTATAATAAAGATGAATTATTAAAATCCTATTCTATAAACTATTGTGTAGCTTTTAAAATAATAATTGTGAAGATTATGTGGCAACATGGAAAATGCTTAAAATGTCATGCCTTATAAGAAGGGCTGATGATTATACCATCAAAATGGGAAAAATGGAAAGGAAATGTATCCAGTGTTAACAGCTGTGTTTGGGTAATGGGATTTTAAGTAGTTTTTTTTCCTATCTTTTCTCTTGTGATTATTTTAATCAGTTTCCAATTTTACAAATTGAAAACCAATTAAAAGCACCCAAATTAAAAAGCCAATATATAAAGCCAAAAAGAATGAAACAGGATTACTTTAAAGTTAGCTGTCCTGTACATAGCTTCATGGGATTTCACATGGGACAAAATCTCAAACCGTTATTGCAGTTTGTGGGGGGATTGCATTTATTCTGAGAGTGATTAGGGTCGTCAGAAAAACAGTGGAATAATAGCACAAGAAACTAGACCCGCCCATCCCCAGCTGCCAGTAATTCAGCCTAGGGCTTCAAGAACCAATTTCTGTCCATTTGTTATGGCCTGGACCCTGGAGACTGCCTCCCCCAGGCCATTCTGATGGTGATGGTCTGGTCCCCCAACAGCTCCCAGAAGACTAGGCACTTAATGGTGGAGCACTGGCAGCTGTCTGGCTTGGGGTTGCTGGTCATCAGAGACTCACAGCCTGTACAATGTTGACCCAGAGGTGAAAAACTCCACATTCTCATACCTCCTCCCCAGAGGCAACAGTGCCTCATTAGGGTACAGTTTCTAATCCAAACAACCATTAATCTTACTCAGGGTTAAAAGGCCAGAAAAGCAATTTTTGCATGTATACACACTCTCTATTTTGGTACTGTACTTGTCTGTATTTTACAAGAGTGGACTTCACTGACCACTTGAAAATACCCTACAATTGTGTCTGGAGCTACACAAACAATGCCAGCTCAACTCAGCCCTTCCTGTGCACAGAGAAAGGACAGGAGTGCAAAACCAGTCAGCTATTTAGGGTCACATTTGACAGGAAATCATAGAAGCTTCACCTACTTGGAACCTAGTGTTTTACACATGAAATTAACTAGGGAAGTAAAGCTGCTGCCCTCTGTGATACTTCTATGAAAGTTGTATACGAACTCTTGAATATCATTCTTCTAATTTTCCTTGTTTTGGCATGTGGAGCTGTGACTCCAGAATTTTTTTTTTTGTGGCATAGGGGTTTGAAATCAGGGTCTCACACTTGCTAGGCAGGTGCTCTACCACTTGAGTCACTGTACCACCCCTTATTTTGTGATGGGTTTTTTGGAGATAGGATCTTGAGAACTATTTGCTGGGGGCTGGCATCAAACGACGGTCCTCCTGATCTCTGCCTACTGAGTACCTAGGATTCCAAGTGTGACCCACCAAGTGTGTACCCAGCCAGAAAAACATTTTAAAGGTAATGAATAGAAAAATAGGATTTCAAATTAGAAGAATGTACTTAATTGTCTCTGCTGCATGAAAGTGTTTAGTTTACAGAAATGGGCCTAATCTCTTGTCTCACACTTTTTAAATAGCTGGTAAGTCACAAAACACAACATTTTCCTATTTTCAAATTGTAAGGACCAAAATGATGAGTGTCTAAGTCTTCCAAAATCTGTTTCTTCGTGCTTGAACTTTAAATTCTTCCTCCGCAGAGCCATCATCAATACAAATACCAAACATGTCTGGTGAGTCACACTGAGACATCTGGCTACTACTAGGAGAGGCATAAAACACTTAAGAGGGAGAGAGAACTCATGTTTATAGCTCAAATTATTTTCCATTAAATTTCTTGTTCAAAAAATCTCACGTTAAGGAGTAGGTAATACATAAAATCTGATCATAGCATTTTCAAGCTGGAAGAGGACTTGGTTGAATAAAGTAAGACCCAGATAAAAGTGGAACAAAATCCAGGACCCTGGCCCTTAGTCTCATGTTCTCCTAATGATGTCAGATCACACTGCAGGATATACAGCTGGCCCACTCTATCTGTGGGTTCTGTAGGAGTTATCTTTTTTCTTTATATGGTGCTGGGGATTGAACCCCAGAATTTTCAAGCTGGAAGAGGCCTTGGTTGCTAAGCACACATTGTACCACTGAGCTACACTCCCAGCCCTTCCTTCTCCTTTTTTTAAATTAGAAAAATTAAAAAAAAAAATCCAAACCATATAGATGTTTATAAAATATAAAGTGAAAGAGTAAAATAGAAAACATTTTCTCTTAATTCTTCACACCTCAAATTCCATTTCTCCATTTAATATTTTGATGTGCATCTTTCTTTTCTATATATTGACATGTTTATATATAGTTAAAAGTAAAAATCAGTCCATACTAATATATCATTTTTTCTGCAATTTATTTTTTGCCAACATCCATTATATAATAGATATATCTCATTAACAATATCATAGTAGTCTATTATTTAATATGTTATGATTTAATTATGTATATAATATTAGTGAATATTTAAGTTGTTTTAATTTTTATTATTCAAAAATAGTACCACCAGAAACATCCTTTATCAGTATGGGAGTTTTGAACTGCTCAATTTCTTTTCTTCTTCTTCTTTTTTTTTTTTTTGTGGCACTGGGGTTTGAACTCAGAGCCTCAGGCTTGCTAGGCAGGCAATGGAGCCACTCCACCAGCCCAACATGCTCCATTTCTGACCTGGGCTAGTTCACTCCTTCTTAGGCAACTTGATGGTCCCCTATTCCTGGGAGGTCACCATATTGTCAAACTTAGTGTGGACATCCGACTGGCATAGTGCATACATCCCAGAGCTCCTGGACTCAAGGGATCCTCCTACCTTAGCCTCCCACGTAGCTAGGACTATAGGCACATGCTAGCACACCTAGCCAGAAACATCCTTGACATGTTCCTTTACATATGTGTGCTAGTATTTCTGTAGGGTAAATTTCTAGACACGCAGTTCCTGGGCATAGGATAAACATTTATGTATTTGATAGATACTGAACATTTGCCCATTTGATACATGGAGCTGAGGCAGAATATTCTACAGGGTTTGGTGCACAAACACTGACCCCTGAAATCTGGCCCAACAGTCTGACATCACAGGCATTTGTCCAGCCTGTTTTATGGAAATAGCTTAAGTCTGAACATTGGAAAATTTCCTGCAGGATAAATATATATTACATTAAAACTGGTAACAGGTAAGTTATGTGTTGAGATGAAAAGACAAAGCTCTAGCCAGATCAACTTCTGCTCTCAGGACTATGGCCAAAGGCAATTCTTTCAGTTCAAATGGTGATTAATACAGTTTCATTGAAGCTTCAAACAGAGCAGACAGATCCTCTTCTGACTGGGGTCGGGGTGCAAGCTTGGTGACTCTTTCCTGAAACAGTAAATAAAAGGAGTTATCCAGGGCTTGCAAAAGACAGTTTGTAAAAGATACTAGGTTATGAAATTAGCTTGGTCATAAGAAACAATGACTTAATGGAAGTCATAGCTTTAAAAATCATGTTTCTGGTATGCTTTGCACTAGGTAATTTGAAACTCAGAGGTTTATCAAGTAATGTCTTCCTCCTGTTAAGCTTTTGAAAGCCATTTTATCCATGTGCAGACAGCCCTGCCCCAGTCATGGTGAGTGCTGCCAAGGACAACACAACCAGTCATCCTCTACTCCAAAACCATTTATTTTGCAACTTGAACTTAAGGTATATTCAAAAAGACTTGTAAGAGATGAGGTTTCAGTCTAAGTGCAATGCTGATTCTATGCTAAGGTTTTAGCTTTACTTTTCCAAATGAGTTCAATGATTATGAATAAGGTCAGCAAAGACTGCCTGTACATCCTATGGACCTCAGTGGTCCACTGTCCCTCTGAGGTAGGGGACTAAAAAATATGACTATCCTGTGGCTGAAATGAAATGAAGAAAAGTGCCATTTTGAGGGCTCTTTTTCATGGGTTTCTGGGTCTGTTTTCTGGTGATAAGCACTGGTTTGGGAGCATTCCTGCTCGATGCACAGTAAGCAGGTGCTCAACAATTAGTTGTTGAACTAATGAGAAATGAAGAGGTGAGGGACACCTGGCATTACAAAGGACGTGTCTACAACATGGAATGCTGACTGCCTACTTCTCTCATTTTCCTCATCTCAGAAATGACACCCCGTCACTCAGACAAAAACCCAGGAGCTATCCTTGAATCCTTGTTCCCTTGTTCTGCAAGTTCAACCCATTAGTAAGTCTATTAGACCTACCTCTAAAATGAATCCCTAATCTGAGCAGTCTCATTTCCCATTGCACCACAACCAGCTCCTGTGGTACATCATGTACCAGTCCTCATGAACAGCCTCCTTCATGGGCTGTTTCCACTTTCGCTCAACTGTCGCCCCCTGGAGGTCATTCTTGCTACGTAGCCTGAGCAGGGTTTTTTCCAGCATAGATCTGGTCATACCATTCTTGTGCTTATTGCTCTCTGTTAACTTCCTCTTTCAGTGAGAACAAAATCAAGACCATTGACACTGCCCATATTTGGCCCTGCTTACTGCCCCAGAGCCTCTTCTCCCATTGCTTCATTTCAGTTTTACTGTCCCTTTAAAATGTTGTGTCTTTCCCCTCTGTCTGGAAAGCTTTGCCCAGTCTTCACATAGCGCCATATCCAGGCTTTGAACAAAAAACTTCACCACCACCCACATTGTCCCACCAAGATTATTGTCTCATTACACAGGGTTTCCTTCATGCTATTAATTATTATCTGAAATTATTTCATTATATCTTATTTATAGATGTTCATTTCCTGTCTCCCCCTCAGTAAGATGGTAAGTGCCAGGAGGAAGGGGAAAGACTTTTTTCTCCCTCATTGTAGCCCATACAATGCATGGTATATGACAGAGAGAAAAATAAGTATTTTTCAGGCAAAAGGAAAAATGAAAAGAAGAAAGTACACATTAAAAAATGAACTCAAAATAGATAAAAAATCTAAAAGTAAAGAGCATAAACCCTAAAACTCTTAGAAGAATATGTAGGGGAAAATCCTCATGACAGTGAAATTGGCAATGATTTCTTGGATATGACACCAAAATCACAGGCAACAAAAGAAAAAAAAAACAGATAACCTGGACTAGACCCAAAATTTAAGCTTTTATGCATCAAAAGCCACTAGCAAGACAATGAAAGGACAACTCAAAATGGATTAATCACTTGATTAATGTCCAGAAAATGAAAGTCATCTGTCCCATTCAACAACAATAACAGGCAACTCAATTCAAAGATGGGCAAAAGACTTGAACAGATATTTCTCCAAAGAAAATACATAAATAGTCAGTAAGCACACAAGATGCCCCACACTGGTAGTCATCATTGCATCATTAGAAATGTAAAGCAAACCCTCAAGGAGATACCACTTAACACCATTATGATGGCTATTGTTTTTTTAAAATAGAAAATAAGTGTTGGTGAAGATGTGGAGAAATTAGAACCTTATATTGTTAATTGGATGTAAAATGGTATGCCCACGACGGAAAACAGTTTAGCAGTTCCTCAAAAGGTTCAACATAGAATTACTGTATGAGCTAACAACTTTATCCCTAGGCAGGCATTCCAAGGAACTGAAAGCAGGGACTCAAATAGACACTTGTACACCAATGTTCATTGAGTATCATTAACAATAGCCCAAAGGTAGGAAAAAGCCTCAAGTATCCATCAACATATGAATCAAACAAAACGTGATGTGCCCATACAATGCGATCTATTCAACACATCTAAGAATGAAATTATGACACATGCTACCACATGGATGAACACTAAAGATATTATGGTAAGTGAAATAAGCCAGTCACAAAAAGACAGATATTACATGATTCTACTTACATGAAGTACCTAGAAGAGGCAAATTCAGAGACAGAAAGTAGAATAGAAGTTACCAAGGGTGGGGAGAAGGAGAGACTGGAGAGTTATTATTTCATAGATGTAGAACTGTTTGGGATGATTTAAAAAATGTTCTGGAAAAGGATAGTGGTGATTGCTGTACAACATTGTGAATGCACTATTTATAAATTTGTGCACATAAAATGGTTTAAATGGTAAATTTTATGGTACGTATATTTTACCACAACTGAAAAAAAGGAAGGGTGGATGGACGTTTGGGAGAAGGTGGAGGACAATACTGATGAATATGGGTGAGGCAAAGGAAGAATTTTTACATCCCAGCAGCAGATCTTTTAGAGACCCTAAAGGAATTTTGAAAATCTGTGGAAAATCAGAGACTTGTTAATGGTTCTCTCTCTCTTTCTACCTCTATCTCTACATATATTTGTAGGAACAAGTACTGAAAATCAGGGCTAGGCAGAGCACTTGCCTAACAAACATGAGGCCCTGATTTCAAAACCCCAGTACCACCAAAGGAAAAAAAAAAAAAAAGAAGAACTAAAGATCAGAGCGTGCCACGGCCACAGATGATGACGATAATGAGGTCATTGCAACATTCTGATAAGAAAGTCGTACATGATGAGCACAAAGGCCCTTAACATGATCCTGCTTATCTTTGATGAAGCAGTTCAAGACCTGCAGAAGGCCAAACCTGTGCTGAGTTTCTTTTTCAAATTCCTAACTCTCAACGATTGGTTAAATGGAGGCAAAGACATGACATGTATGACACACTGCTAGACATATCAGCTACGCCATATGAAAGCTAAGCTCTCTCAGAATGAAGAGGTGTTAAGATGTGTTGTGCTATTATTTATAGACCCGTGAGACCAAAGAAGATCTGATTAACATGGGCACGGAAATAAATTCAGACGTCTACTTTTAGTACATTCATAAAATAACAACATTTCGGCTGGCCTGTCTACCAGGGAGTGGAAGTGCTCATTTTGGGTAGACAGCTCTCTCCTTAGAAATGAAATGTTTTGATTTGAAATGTAAATGTTTCTTTCCAGAGGTTTCAGAAATCCAGCTTGGGAGATTAGTTTATTCTTGTCTGTTCCGCTTATAGCCTGGCTATGGCAGTTGGAAGCCACTGTACACAGGGCTGCTATTTGCTGCCACAATTATGGGCTGTGGTGTTTGGTCAAGAATACTGGCCAGCTTGTTCCTTCCAGAGAAAACCCACCCTTGGCTGCTGAACATAAAAGAACCTTTATCAAACATGGAGTGCATGAAACAACCTTTCTGGAAATGTTCTTTGCAGGGACCAATATATCCTTCCCACTACCTTAAATGCTGTAGATACTAAGAAGTGAAGATTAGTCCACCATATGTGTAAAATTCTGAGGTTGCCATGGTGTTCCTGTAAAATGCTCACTGTTGCCAGAAAACACAACAAAACCCTCTATAGTAGTTCTTCATCTGCAGAATGGAGATGAAGAGGCTCATTTCTAAGACTTCCTCCAAAGTCCTGTGAGTCTGTGAATATATGCATATCCTAGTTACGTCCACTCCACAATGGAACTAGTACTACTTAATTAAAATCAACTATGTTTTTCCTTATCATGAAAACATGATCAAGAGGAGGGGGAAAACAGCACATGCCTCAGGCTACTTCACAAATACGGCTTGAGGAAAACCTGGCTTCCCACTCCAAATATGACTTACATTCAAAAGGCTCCATTTACCTGCCATCTTTTGTGAAACTAAGAAATTCATTTTGTTTAGTTAAGAGTTTGCTTCTGTGATCTCCCTCTAAGACATGTGCACGAAAGCATTCAGAATGTTACCTAATTAACTTGCTGTTTTAGTAGGGTGGTCTCAAGTATTAGTCTGGACCTGCTGCTGTCTAGAATAGCTTTTGAACATGAAGGTCTGAGCACAGTAGAATTAGCACAGTGCTGATGACTGCGAGATGCATTGCTACCAGCGATTAACTGGCCAGGAAAATCATTTGCTTGCATCTGAAAATCATGGATGCCATTCTTGGAAATAGACAGACACATCTTCCCCAATCCTTTCCTGGGCTGATCAGCCAAACTTTTCAGATGGCTTGCAGAATCAACAGCATTATTGGGACTATAAGCTACATAAAAATTTAGGTGACCACTTAGTCTGTGGTGCTCCTGAACAGGCTTTAATGGCTTCTCTGTTTGGGCTGAGTTCCTAGTCAGTCCAAGGAAATATCTCAAAGAGTTACCATCCTATAGTCATCACGCTCATCTGGACAGAGAAGTTGGGAGAAGAGGGACGTCTTCATTTAACATGTCTACTAGCCCGTGCAACAGAGAAGAATGAGCAAAGCAGAATCCTGACCTCATGGAGCTTAGAGACCCATAAGTTTGGATAAAATAACTGTGATTGTCTTGGAAGAGCTTATATTTTAGCTATGTAGTATTTCAGACTTGTGGGTTAGAACTACAGGTTGTGGGTTGGCTGCACTTTGACACTTATCTGTTTCTCATTTATTCATTTCTTTTAGATGCAATTGGATTCACTGGGCAAGCATCTCAATCAGGGAAACTGGTATCGCATGGGCCATGTTTCATTTGTACACTGGGAAACTAGGTAAATTCAATAGAAGCATCTAGATTGCTGATTTTTCTTGAAAGTTCTACCACCAGGAGGACCTGAATTTCTGCTAGGTGATAGTCAATTGTAACTGAACACCTGCTCACCCAGTTAAGACGGGTCACATGCTTCCCAGTTTACCAATGTCCCCATTATTCCCTGTTGCCCTAAGTTACTTTGTTCACTGCTATGTCCTGTGGCCATTGCCCCAGTCTATACATATATTATCTTATAAGAGTGGCAGACTTGTCATCCTTCTAAAGACTGAGGAAGTGGGCAAAAAGGAGCTAGTTCGAGGCCCTTGCTGACCTGGCATGGGTTGAGGAAAAAGATGATGCGAGAGTGGGTGTTCCAGCTGTTAGCTCTGTTCCAGTGTCAGGGAGAGATCCACAAATGGCCTCACTTTGGGCAGAAGAGCCCCATGGTGCTGAAGTGATCCCCTTCCTTCCCACATTGGTCAGGAGGACTAAGGGAACACTTGGCATGGTGAGCATGTGTGGTTCACCAACCAAGTGCTCGTGGCTCTGAGCTCTCTACTTTATCGTGAGTTGCAATGAACAGGATCTTGGTGCATTAGGATCTGATGTACCAGCTCAAAAGAGGTCCAAAGAAAGATGAACCCTCTTCACAAGGTTCTTGGGAGAGGAAACTTTACATCTGTTATGATTCTACCAAATAAAGGATGGCTGATTAAAGGAAGTTCTTTAGCAAAATTTAACTAAATGAAATAAGGCCCAGAGGGAATAGATATTTCGTAATATTGTTACAAAATATTTTGTAATACTTTACAAAGCAATTTTGTAATATTGTTAGCTTAAAGGCTATGCATATTCTCCATAACAATAGGAACTGGTAACTCTTTATAATGGGAAATAACATTAGTGATCCTTTTGTAACGGCTTTGAATAAGAATAATTTTAAAAACTTTTTTTTTTTTTGCAGTACTGGGGTTTGAACTCAGGGCCTACACCTTGAGCCACTTCACCAGCCCTTTTTTATGTGGGTTTTTTTTTTTTAATGCCTTAAAGTTGATAATTCAAATTTTATTTATAATTTTAAAATTATACATTCTGTAGGTATAAAAAATTTTTAAAATACATTCAATTTTAAAAAGCTTTCTCAATTTACATTTTCACACTGCTATGATTGCTATAATAACTAGCTGTAAATATATTTAGCCAAAATAAGTTAATTTTTAAAAATCAATAACACAGTATGCTGGCAAGATGATTTCTTTCAAAACAAATAGTGTAATTATAACACCAGTGTTCTAAATGCACTACAACAAATAAATACTTAATATGTCACAGAAGACAAAAATCCACAGACTAGATGGAGGCTTTAAAAATCTAAGACACTAGTGCAGAAATCTGGGCACTTGGTCCCTTAATGAGTTAGAGGACTTCAATTTAAAAGACAAATTTTCACAGGGGCTATTATGACTGTCTATCCATCAAAAAAGGAAAGGCTGTTATCTCTATTCAGATGCTTCTAGTGTGTTTTTATTCAAGTGTTCAACCTCTCCTTTGACTTAAATGTTCTTTCCCTGAAAAAGACATTTATAAGCTAGTAATTTTGGCCTCATGACATACGTATTTTAAAGAATGAAAGAAGGTTTTTTGAGATAGGGTCTCACGAACTATTTGCCCAGGCTGGCTTCGAACTGTGATCCTCCTGATCTCTGTCTCCTGAGTAGCTAAGATTATAGCCATGATCCACTAGCACCTGGCTAAAAACTATTCTTATTCAAAGTTGCTTCTACCCTTAAAAGGACAGAAATAGTTTAGGTATGGTGGCTTATGCCTGTAATCCCAACTACTTGGGAGGCAGAGATTGAGAAGATCAAAGTTTGAGGCCAGCCTGGACAAAAAGTTAGTGAGACTCTATCTCAACTAATAAGTCAGGCATGGTAGTTCAGGTATGTAATCCCAGGTAGGAGGATCACAGTTCAAGGCTGGCCCTGGGCGAAAACTCAAGACCCTACCTGAAAAATAACTAAAGCAAAAAGGGTTGTGGCTCAAGTGTTATAGCTACTGCTTAGCAAGCCCAAGCCCTGAGTTCAAACCCCATATCCCACACAAAAGGCAGAAATGGGGAAAAGGGAAATTTTGCAAAACTCAAGATCAACTTGGCTCTTTTTGCTTTGAATTTTCATAAAGGATCCTTTCAGATTTGCTCTAAATGTTTCAACAAAGTCACAGATTTATAGGCGCACATAAAGAAAAAGGAGCCTGGACTACTTCTTGTGAGGGAGGGTACCGTGTGGTAGGGAGAAAACCTGACAACTGCTGGGGGACCCTTAACACACCTCGAATGGAGCATGCCTTCCAGAAGTTCTGTGCTTAGCAGGACTGAGGCCCATGCTGTGCCTTTACCTGGGGCAGTGTTCCTTTCACTAATGCAGGGATGTCAGCCTTGGAGTAACCAATGGCTGCCAGGCCATTGTCAACATTTAGATCAAATAAGAGTTTCCGGAGTGTGTCTGCCAACACAGGTCCTGCATCTTGTCTCTTCGTAGTGCGGGTATCAGCTCCTAGAAGACACAAAATGCAGACTTTAAAAGGATGCAGGTTCTGGGTGTCATGTAGTCACAAGATCAGCTGACAGATAATATGTACTAAATGCCATCTTCAAACACTGAGGATAAGGGTGGTCCTGGGCCTCCCTCAAGGTGGCCCAGTGGCCGATGGTGAAGCCCACAGAAGACACACTGGCAAGGCCAGATTGAGGAACCCAGGGCCTCTGCGAGAGAAGTCAGCTGGGGGCAGCTGCCTTGGCGCGCTCATTTTCCAGCTGGCAATTCTTACCTGCTCACCCTTTGTGTGGCAGGGAAGAAGAGGAACAGAGCCAAGGCAAGGGGTGTGGAAAGAAGGCTGGTGTTGGGAGAAGAGAAAGGACCATTTGGGGAAACATGGTTTTTGGGAGTGGTTCTCAGGGCTTGGAATTTGCTGACATCTAGAAGTATGCAGGTTCAATATCTGTTCTCACAGCAATATCCTAGAACAAGGTTAGCCTTCTGCAAACACCTTGTAAGACAAGGACGTTGAAAGACAAAACGTTCCACAATGACTGCCGAAAAGGAAGAAAATAAGGCTGACAAAAATGGGTCATGCGTGACTAGGGAAGGGAATATTTCCTCTCTATAGCTGTAAAACCTTTTGTTTTGGACTTTGTTGCCAAAGGGCAGAGAAGTTTCCTCTGTAATAATAAGTATTACAGTACCAGTTGGTCAGAACCAAGAACAGGGAAGGTGGCTAAGGTTTGGTGATTTGTAAGGACAGAAGTTAGACATAGTTAATTAACACATGATCATAGAGGTGCCAGGCTGGCAGAGCTAGGAGTTTCTGTTCTCAGGCCAAGTAGCAGTGAAAACTCCCAGAGGAAGGGAACTGATTTTCCAACCCTCAGCATTGGCCGTGTTGCTCACCTATTTAAGTGGAATGCCCGTACTGTGTGAATGAAACACATCGTATGAAGTCTATCCAAGAGGCCTCCAAAGGAGACTAGAGTGCACAGTTCACCTCCATATTGAAGCACATTACAAAATCAGTTTTAAGGTTTCCCTTCTACGACAGAACTGTGTTAGTAATCCAGAAGTATGAATGGAACCAACACAGGGCTAGAGAGGGCAGAACAGAATGCAAGGTAAACTGAGCCTGACAAGACCAGTCTGTAATACCCAGCAGCAACTAAACGTGGATTAGGTGGAGAGGCGACATACAACATGGGGTTTGTGATGTTTTTATGTTCCCAGGATGGCTGCCACAAAACACATCATCAAAACCTCTGAGTGTTTCTATGAAGCATTTTTAGGGGAGAGAGAGAGAGAGAGAGCACAAAAGAGAGAGAGAGAGAGAGAGAGAGAGAGAGAAGAGAATACATTGTCTGAAAGCTAAGATACTTTAACATTACATAAAGAGTCAAAATATTTAAGTAATAGCAAAGTATGGGATAATATTAACATTCCCTATGCAAGAAGAAAGAAGCAGTGGGTTTTTCCAGCCCGATTGTGTCTAACAGAGGAACTCTTTTCTCAGTAGTGTTGATGGTTGCTTGGAATGTGAACTTCTCTAAGATGTTTTTCCCAGGTACCATAAATCTAGCCTATGATTTGGGCCCTGTGTCCCACTAGTTACACTCTTTTCATATTTTGCAAAGGCAACTGCATCCCAACATATGGTTGAACAACATCTCCCATCCAAAAGTGAAAAGGGATACATGACACTTGGCACAGCTGGCAGAGTGTTCTTGCAGCCCACGCTGGGAAATCAAGCCAGGGCCCAGGGCTGGCTCTCAGTGCTGGGCTTCTGACATTAACATTCTGGGTACAGCAACTGGAAGTGGGCAGGAGCACAAACAGCGAGTGTGAGGTTGGAGGGAGGGGAAGCAGTGCGCAGAAGGATGCCTGTGGTCATTCCTCCCTCCTTGGAAATAATGTCTGCAACGGCTGGACCTACAAGAGCATAACGAGCTCTTCTTTTTGGCATTTCTCTTCCTACCCTAAACACAAGTAGTGGAATAAAATGCTTTGCAAATTAACCCAGAACTCAAGTTTACTTAAAAGAGTTCTCATTTCAGAAAAGCACCAACATTTTACTTCCACTACAGTTACCTGGAATATAATTTTATTTCTGGTAAGATTCAAAAGGCCCTGTGGAAATCTTATTGTAGACATTATTTATTCTACAGTATGGCAAATGGGTTGCTCACTTGAGATCTTTTTTTATAAAGTCTCTCCCTGTTTAGATTCTCTATGGGAATTTACTGTTGCTTCCTGATTTAGATTCATTTTATTATCCATTCAATCTAGCAAAAGACAATTAGAACATTAACAGTACTACAGAGTTATACTCTGCTGACAGCAGAGAAAATAGTATTACTTCAACCTTAACAGAACTAGTAACTGGTTCTGTTTCATTCTTAACACATTCTTAGAAACACAGAGTTACAGTATTTTAGTGTTGAATAGGGCTTTGGGCACGTCACTGACATTTCATTATTAAGCCACCCCAAAGCAACATTTTTGGGTAATATTCCTTGTGGTTGTCTTCAGAAGCTATCCTGTGTGAGTCACAGATTTATGAGTAATGCTCCATACCCAATATTTCTGCCGTCTCCAGGTGCCGCTCTGGAAACATCTGGGCTGTGAAGGTGAACACTGCTGGGGACGTGAGCACCACAGAAAGGCCATGGGGCTGGGGAGAGATGGACAGAAAAGCTGTTCTTCCTTCCGAATACTCTAGATATGACTACCCTGCACTCTGAACAGGTGGAAATTGACAATTATGGGCTGGAGGAGGAGCTCAGTAGTAGAGCGCTTGCCTAGCATGCAGGAAGCCCTAGATTTGATCCCCAGCACCAAAACAAAACAAAACAAAAAAATAGAAAACATGCTTATGGAAATGGTGAGTAACATAAATTTTGTTAAATAAATTATTTAATTACTATTTTTTTTACCACCAATGGGTGATCCACATTGTAATCCTTTGCTTTATATGTCTTCACTAAACCTGAAATTGGGTAAGACATTCCGTGGCTAGAAAAGAAAAGATATTCTTACAATGACATACAGGTACGAGAATTCAAGTCTACAACACAAAGACACTGTTCTCGGTACACTTCTCACAGTCTGGACAGTACTGTTACCCCCCAGAGTTGTGTGTTCTGTGTTCTTGGATGTAAGAAGGTACTATGATGCATTCCTAGCTTAGTGTACTCATTAATTAAAACTCTGAAATGATCAAATTCAAATGATCATAGAATTGTATGCCATTCGATGACATGTAAGCTGGACCTGCCAGTGAGCTCCCCAACCAATAATGTTATTTATCAGTGGTGTTGAATCATAATGGGTTGTTCTAGCCTGAGAGGCGAGGCTAATCAGGTCTAGTTTAACTGAGTTTTCTTGCTTGAATTCTACCTTAAGGATTTATTTAGATTTAGTTGTCATCAAGAAAAGGCATCATAGTTTTTGTTTTTACTGAAAGAAAAAACCCTTTATATCTTCTTGAATTCTTAGTGTAGGAGATGACTTAGAGGGTAAATGTGACAAGTCAATATATGTACAATTAATATGGTGAAAGCGAAATGGTATACATCACTGTGATTGTCTATAGTTTCTTTCATATGGATTACTGGATGACTTTGTGCTTATTTAGCATAAGATTTACATTTCATGGAAAGAAGTATTTGGTGAACTATCTGAACAGTTATCCACAAAAAAAGGGAAACCCCAGCCCATCCTTCATGAAACAAGTCAGTAGTTGGTTTTGATTTCTTGAGTACTTTCGAATGTGCTTTGCCTCTCTTAGACTTAGAAAATTATTGTGCAGTATGCTTTCATGATGTCATAGGGTTTACGTAGCTTTCAAGAATATTGAAATTTTTAGTTGATTCCTTTTATCAATTGTCTAAGTTGTTTGTAGAAAATAACAATTATCCACAATTCTATTTTTTTCTAGTCATTTTGTGCACAATCATATTGTGCATATAGTTTTATACATTGCTTTTGTTACTTCACCCTTCTTTGTAAATATTTTCTGATATAAATTTGTTCTAAAACAATGCTTTTAAAGGTTTTATTTTATTCCTTAGGTACCGAACTTCAGTTAACCACTAGCTGCTGGAAATTTAGGTTATATCCATATTATTTTTCAATTATAAATAACACTTAGGTGAATTCTTATAAGGGAATTAATTGATCATATCATGAATATTTCTTTAGGCTAGAGTTCTAGAAGTGAATTAGTGGGGCAAGGAATATAAACATTTTTCAGGCTCTGGATACATTCTGTTCCCTTCCTTTTTGGAAAGGCGTAATCAATTTATGCCCATCGGCAGTAGAGTCTGAAGACAACCATTTCATTGCACTCCTAGCAAAGGTCTGTTCCTAATTCTCAGCGGTCTCTGTTTCTCAACCGACGTAATTAATTTTGGGCTATCGGCAAAGACTTGATTCCTTTCTTTTTTGTGTGTGAGATAAGAAGGGAAAATCCAGCACAATCCACAGAATGTGGCAAGGATGTAAAATGGTGCAGACACTGTGGAAAGAGTCTGGTAGTTTCTCAAAAGATTTAAACACAAAGTTACTATATGATCCAGAAATTCTATTCCTATGAGTAAAAGAAGAGAAATGAAAACATATGTGTGCATAGAAACTTGTATAGGAGTGTTCATAACAACATTACTTATCACAGCCGATAACCCAAATGTCTGTTAACTCATGAATGGATAAATAAAAGGTGGTACATTCACGTAATAGAAGGTTATTTGGCAATAAAAAGAATTAAATGCTCATACATGAATGAACTTTGGTAACATTAAGTAAAACAAGCCAGACAGAAAAGACTGTATCTTAAAAGATTTCATTTATATGAAATGTCCAGAATGGGGAAGTCTATAAGTGGATCAGAGCAAGGTATCGTGGCCCACACGTGTAATTCCAGCTACTTGAGAGGTGGAGGCAGGAGGATTGTGAGTTTGAGGTCAGTCCAAGAAAAGTTAGGGAGAACCTATCTCAAAAACAAAATAAAAACCAAAAGGCTAGCTAGGGATATGGCTTAAGTGGTAGAGCCCAAGGCCCTGGAGTCAATCCACAGTACTGTATAGAAAACAAAAGAAAAGAAAATAGATAAGTAGTTGTCTAGTACCAAAAGAGGTTGGGGTGTTGCTGGGTGACAGATAAGGGCTATTGGATTTCTTCTGGGGTAATAAAATATTGTGAAATTGATTATAGAACTTTGTATATATAGTAAAAATAATACACTTTAAGTGGATGAATTGCATAGTTTATGAATTATATCTTAAAAAGCTGTTATAAAAAAAAAATCTATGAGTGGCTCAAGTGGTAGAGCATCTGCCTAGCAAGTGTGAAGCCCTGAGTTCAAACCCCAGTGCCACCAAAAAAAAAAAAATCCCTGACTCAGTAAACTATATTTGAATTAAGAAAATACTAGGGACCTTAAATTTCTTCTTCCTATAGCATGTTTAAATTTAACCACTTGTCCTGACTAATAAACAATTTTAAAACACTTAAAAGCAATGGTTTTTGCATATAGAAATAAAGCCTCCTATTCACTCACCACAGATGAACCCCAGCGTTTCCAAAGCCAATGCCAGCAAAAGCACTTGCCAAGTGCATGTTAGACCTTGCCTCAAGATCATCAGGATTTCTGACAGCCCTGTGGATTATATAAATAAAGAACAATAACACATCAACATTGGCATTTCCTATTGAATAAAGAGCTGCTTTAGGGAAAGACTTGGAAAAAAAAAAAAGGAGTGTTACTCAGTAGGAAGAAAAATAGGCAAGTTACTCAAACAACACCTTGTCTTCTAAATGAAAACCGAAGGGGAACATGTTTTCTCACCAATGGTTTCACCAAAGACATAATAAATATGCTGTCAGCTGTTCAAGTGATATAAAAGTGCCTGCAGGTGGGTGGGGGTGGGGAGGGTGGCAAGAAAGCCCTGATCCTGGGACTGTGAGAGCTGCTCTAGGGAAGTGCACAGACTCATTCTTTTTCATTTGTCAGTGACCCTGATGACCTCTGTGAATGGACTCAGTAAACACATTTTCAGAATGTACTCTGAGTCAGTCGCCCAAGGCTACTTGCAGGCTAACACCAGCTGGCCCAGCCATCTTTCTTCATGCAACACTGATCCCAGTTGGACCCAATGGGGCCCTCTTTTGGTGCCTGTGGGAACTGCACACCTGCTCTCAGTGTCACAGTGGAAGTGGGATGTTAATGTAGGATGAGCCTTTGCTTGCTCTGTGCCACTTTCAAACAGCAAATTCTCAAAGGCTGCTTTTAAATTCGGTTCTGATTTCCTGTGCACACTATTTGAAAACCCAGCCCCAGGGAGGAAGCCTGAAGACTGCCAAGCAAACCACTTCTACCTGGTGTTTCACGATTTTGCCTAGAGTAACCCTTACTCTTATGACATAAAACTGCTGTGACCTTTTTGGTCCTTTTGTGTGGAATGGTTAGAAGTCTGTGCCTCCTGTCCCAAACCTACTGTTAGTTCCTAATTCCCTGAATAACAAGGCAAAGTAGCAGATGCTGAGGCTTTCCGCCTTCCCTCTGTCCATCTCGCCCCCTCACCTCTCGCTGTGATTGTGCCAACCCTCTGTCCCTGTCAAACAAACTGGCTCCCTTTATCTGTGTCTGCTTCTACCTAGCCCAGTGCTTTCCACTGGGTCTCCCATGAGCCTGAAACAGTTCCGTGTCCCTTTCTCCCTCTCCCTGCTCTGCTACAAAATGTGGTTCCAAGGTCCTCTCTCTGGCAGAGCTTCTAGGTCAGGAATAGAGGAGGCACTGTGTTCATGGCTAGGTCTAACCTGCACGTGCCTTTTCCTCCATTACATACAAATACAAAAATATGTTCAACTTAGCATATGTCTTAATAGTGCAGGTGTCAGTTTCCACCTTTAAATATTGTCATCCCTCCATATCCGCAGGTTCTGCAGATTCAAACAACTGTGGATGGAAGATATTCAGGAAAAAATTACATCTGAAGTGAACATGTACAGACCTTTTCTGTCATTATCCCCTAAACAATACAGTATAATACTACATATATATTTTGCATTTCATTATAAATATGTATAAATTATATGTAAACACATATATCTAATATATGTATAGACTTAAAGTATATAGAAGGACATCTGTAGGTTATGTGCAAATGCTACTTCATTTTCCAGAAGGGACTTGAGCATCTGTGAATTTTGGTGTTGTCTGAGGAGCTCCTGAAATCAATGCCTCATGAGAACTGAGGGATGACTGCATATTTTTTGTCTATTCAGAAACCTATTGCTATTTTTTCTCTCATGCCTATGGCTATAAATATGTGTACATATGTATTTGTGTTATTAAAATTTTTAATTAGCCATTTTTTAAAGAGATGGGGTCCTACTATGTTGCCCAGGCTGGCTTCAAACTCCTGGGCTCAAGTTTTCTTCCTGCCTCAGCCTCCTCAATAGCTGGGACTAACAGGTGCACACCCCATACCTGGCTTCTGGCTATATTCTTAAATCTTTCAGGATTCTTAAAATCCTTTTATATTTTCTACTTTTAATAGCTCCTGGGTCAACAATGTCTTACACATTTACTTCTTGAGTTTAGTTCATGTGAGCTTGCTCAATGGCTGATTTCTGTGTACCTTTGGAAGGGACTGGGTAGCCACAGCCAGCATCTGTCCATGTGGTTCTCATTTCTGCCCTGGGAAGCCAAATTGTGAAGGGTAGCTCACCTTCAGCCTCTTACTCTATCTGCATCCTTCATAAATTAGGGGCTCCCCTTATTCCTCGTCTTTTCAGACTGAAGGATCAGTTTTCACCTGCCATTGCTTGGGTCCCTTCAGAGATCACTGGTGACTAGTGCTTTTCCACACCCATGAGCTGATCTGGTAAACACACCTCAGTATATTTTAGGATCAGGTATGTCCCATTTCACGTGAGAGCACAAGGCAGTTTTTCTGTTCTGCTCTATCCCCTCAGGGTACCATACCTCTTCAGGTACTTAGCCACAATCCGCAGTGCGTGGACTGCCCAGATGTCGCTGATTGGGTTGCTGCCCTGGTACGCTGGCCGCATGATAGGGTTGGAAGGGCAGGGGCTCCGCATGTGGTAGGGAAGGGCAGTGTATGACTCCAGGGCATGGCTTCAGAGAAATATTAAAAATATACGGGATGAAAGCATTGTCTCCTTCCTCCCCCACATCCAATCACAAACCAGAACTCAATCTCCTGCGTATATGCTATTCAGCACTGACGCTCACCCTACCTTCCACATCAGGCTCTTGCCCATGACAGTCACTGCTTAGTATAGAAATGAATACAGTCAAGTTTGCATTAGCAATACCGCAGTGTTTTCAACTGTTATATATGAGATTGATCATGGGCATAAAATTGCAGTTAGATAGAAATGAGATGTTCTAGTGCAGGACTGCACAGTGGGGTGACTATAGAGAGTGATTGTGTATGGAATATGTCAAAAAGCTGGAGGAAAGGATTTTGGATGGTTTCACCATAAAGAAGTGATAAAAGTTTGACTTGATTGTTCAACATATATGTGTGGCAAAACACCATATGGTACCACATTCATATATTCAGTTTTCATCTTTTATGTATCTATCTGTGGTAGAAATATGGATTGGGAGCCATGGGCACATTATGACTGGAGCGATGGGTGCATTGTGGCTAATGCCAAGGGACTGCATGGTGAGACTGGTCAGGCCACTAAACATCTGGAACATAGTTTTCTTTTTCTATCAGTTAGAGTCCCCATGGTACTGTGCTGCAGGGAAGTGCTGATGGGTGAAAAGAGCTGGCACAGAATCCATGTCTGGACCAATGTTCTAGAGACACTGGCTTCCTTCCCTGTGCAGCCCTGGCCTGCCCTGCTTTGTGCAGCAGTAAAGGCAGGTGGTGTGGTCCTGAGACACTCACTGCACATCACTTCAAACTGCCCTCTGTCTGCAACCCCATGTCCATAGCTGAGGCTGGGGTGCCCCATCCTGAACAGGCTTACACCAGGCTGTACCTAGTCACCAATGTTTCCAGCTTCAAGGTTTCCATCCAGGAAAGTGGATGATGACGGCCAATGTGAGGGATGTGTGGACACTAGTCAATGAAGGCTTGTCAGGCCTAGAAATAGGCACTTGGGCAATAAAATACTGTCTGTAGGCCTGGTCCTAGAAAACCCCTTAGAGGTGGCACTGGTACCTACCAAAGCACATCGAAGCCACTGTTGGCCACCACCTGGCCAGGCATGTGGAGGGTGTGCAGAGGGTCAACTAGTCCCAGAGTGGGTTTGATGGCTCGAGAAGCAATGCCTAAAACATAAGGACTCTTAATAGAGACTAAAGGTACGGCACCATTTAAAAACCATTAAATAACTTTAGGATAATAAATTACCCAAAAAAAAATCACAGTGTGAAAAAAGAAGTAGCTAAGTAGCAAGAGGCAGTGGAAAGAGATTTGAAGTCAGAAACTTGGGTGTTTCAGTGGCGTGCTGGAGTTGCTCCTACCTACAACATCCCAGGGGCCACGTGCATTCATGTCTTCCTGCGTTTGGGAAGAGCAATGACACCATTATCCAAACTGGGAATATTTGCACCATGGAAATTGGCAAATACTACAAAGCAGGCTTATTTATTATTAAATTTCAGAGAGCTGGTTTGCTAGTACACCTCTGGCCCTTGCTCTACACCATACTTTGTGTCAATGGATAAGTCACTTAGCCTTTCTAAATGGTTATATATGTATATGATTATTTGTCATCTATCTATCAATCTATAAAAAAACAACCACAGCAATAAAAAAAAAACATTGGAGAGAGAAAAATGCCCATTTATTATTGATATAGTCACTAACATGAGCAGAAGAATGGCCAATTAAGATTTATGGCATTTCCATATACTTTTGTAGGTAATTCTCAAGAGGAAGTTTACTATTTTTATATGTACTTGGATAAAGAAAGAAAATGTATGTATGCATATATCCTTTCTGTAAGTCTGCAAGTCCTAGATTTCTAAATAATACCATTAAAGAAAAAGGAGTGAAGGGACCAGCTATGGTGGTACATGCCTATAATTCCAGCTATTTAGAAGGCAGAAATCAGGGGGATTGTGGTTTGAGGCCAGCCTGGAGAAAAAGTTAGTGAGACCCCATTTCAAAAAACAAGCTAGGTGTGGTGTTCATGATTGTAAATCCCAGCTATGCAGAAGGTACAGGTAGGAGGATCACAGTCCAAGGCTGGCCCAGGCAAAAACATGAGACCTTATCCCCAAAAAAAAAACAAAGCAAAAAAGGACTGAATGCATGGCTCAAGTAACAGAGCACCTGCCTAGCAAGCATAAGACCCTTAGTTCAAACTTCAGTACCATAAAAATAAAAAAAAGGGAGTAGAGTTGAAAGATAAAGACAAGAGAGAGAATTAAAAATACATTGTAGGCAGAGTTCTTACCGGTTTTTACTTTCAAGTGTTCATAGTCAAAAATAGCAACCCCAGTAGTTTCACTCCCAGTTCCTGAGGTAGTTGGGACTAGAAGAAAATAATATTAATTTTTGTTACTCTTTTTTAAAATAATATTAATCTTAGTAGAGTATTTAAATAAAGATCATGGAGATATTTAATTCAATCTTAGCAGCAAAGTTAGAGAACAAAGTTACAGAAGGAAGCTTTGCTGATCCAGCTGCTTGTCTGATACCTGCATCTGTATAACATGTATGTAAGGTTAGTGTGTGTGATGATGCCTGCTTGCATTAACATGCATGAATGAGATCTGTGTTGCATTAACTTGCACGATGTCTGTGCCTATATTAAAAAGCATGTGAGGTCTGTGTCTGTAATAGTATGTATGTATTCAATATACATGCCGATGTCTACAGGAATGCACGTTTAACATGTATCATGTCAATATCAACATGTTGTGTGACCTCCATGCGTCAACATGCATGAATGTTAACATGCATTTATGGTTTAATATGCATGCCATCTGTATCTACAGAAACAGACTCATTTAATACATCTGGTGTCTGTGTCTGCATTGACATACATATCAAATAATTGTATCTGTGCTAACAGGCATGCATGATGCCCGTGTGTGTGTGTGTATATGTGTGTGTGTGTGTGTGTGTGTGTGTGTGTGTGTGTATGTGTATGTGTGTGTGTGTGTGATGTCTGCATCCGTCTGCCCCTTGAGCCCTGGGAACCTTGGGTTCCTCCGGCACCAGAGCTCACGCAGTTGCAGCTGGGCATTCAGATGTAGGCTGCTGGGCACCTGGTACCTCTGGCAGGAAAGCGCGCATCGCTGTCTCTAAAAGACATCTTTATTCCCACTTGGCTGCAAGCACAGCACCCAGCCTTTGCTGGGCCCTGTGGTTTTGTAGTTCTGTCAAGTTTCTAAACTTTACTAATCACCCCTCTGTGTAAGCTGACACAGTTTCCCCAGAGGGTTCCATTTGCCAGTGCCCAATTATGCTGCTCCCTGCTGATTCTCATTCATGTCAAAGCATCAGAGCAGTGGGGAGTCCCTTTTCTGGACCTTAGGGGCTGGAGAGGGGGAGAACAGAGGACAAAACTGAGGATATGTCCCCATCACCAGTTAGTGCATTTCAGCCACAAAACTCTTTAGAGTAATATGCTAAGAGCATAAAACAAGACAGACAGAAAAAAAGATGGGAAAACCGCAAGGCTCCCTGTGGAACACACAAGCTATTTTGATATAGATTTGTGTGTTTGTGCCCTGGGCAGCCATGGAGCAGATGTCATCCACAATGACATGGGCCATGCTGGCCACATGGCCCAGGAAATAGACAAAGCCTGAGGTCAGCTGAACAGCCATTATGTAGGAGAAAAGGTTGAGTCATTGAAAAATAACAGCAAATGTTCTCTTTAAACTCCACAGTGGATGGCAAAATGGAACAAAACAGATGGGTTTTGTCCCTCTGATAACAGAGGGACCTGCCAAATGTCATGAGGGCCTGCCCCTACCCCACAGTGACTAACCTAAATGTGCAAACTTCCTCCCACTGACCCAAATTGTCTCTAGCTGTGTAGTAATGAAGATCAGGATTTTAAACTGAATGAACTGCTATCTGTTTTGAACAAATCAGAAGTATTAGAAATACTCTAAAATTACTAGGCTGGCATCTTTCCTGCAGTCTTTTGCCAGCTGCAAAATGTCTGGAACAAGCAGTCTTTACCTGCAATCAGAGGCCTCAGCGGCACCAACACAGGCTTTCCCTTCCCAATAGGAGCATTGACATAATCCAGGAACTCGGAGTTAGGGCTGGAGGCATACAGATTAGCGGCTTTGTAGGTGTCCATCGTGGAGCCACCGCCTACAGCAACATAGGCATCAAACGCTCCCTTTTTGGCAAATTCAATTGCATCCATGAAGCTTGGAGAACAGAAAACAGAACCCACTACATCATATTTTTCAGAAACACACTGTCATGCCATTAAATAAGGAGTGGGGCAAATTCTCAACCATAGTGCTATGTGCTCAGTTCCACTTAAAGTAAGTAACAAGGACATTGCAAAATTACCTTGAGTCTGTTGGCTCCACCCTCACCTCATCGTAAACCTGAAAGTTGATGCCATTCCTCACTAGGGAATCCATAACTACTCGGACGGGGGGGAGCTGGGAGAGGGTCTTGTCTGTCATCAAGCAAACATTTTTAGCCCCCATGTTCTGTAGATCCTACAATGAAAAAAAAAATCATTCATAAGTTAGGTTTGATTGCACTAGAACTGTAAAAGACTCTTCAGGCAAACTAAATTAAGTATTGTGCATCTTTAAAAATAAAGGAGGGTCAGGCATGATGGTTCATGTCTGTAATCTTAGTTACTCAGGAAGAAGAGATGGAAAGGATCAAGTTACAGGCTAGACCAGGCAAAAAAGTTAGTGAGACCCCCATCTCAAACCAGTAAGCTGTGCACACCTGTCATTTCAGCTACACAGGAGGCGGTCCAGGCTGGCCTGGGCTAAAATGAGAGACTCTTTGAACAAAAAAGGATGGAGGCAAGCATGAGTTCAAACCTCAGTACCACAAAAAAATAATGAATAAATAAATAAAAAGGACTCAATTGTTGTCCGTCAGTACTTGTAGGACGTGACATGTAACATTTATAGCAGGACGCCTCAAATACTTGCCAGGCCCACTTCCTTTGTAACTCCTGGTCCATATCTAATATTTGAAACAGCCATCTGAAAAAGAAGAAACAAGATTTAGATGTAGGGTATGTTAGAGACTTGGCTTAGAATTCCATTTCTAAGAACCTGAAATGGCTCCTCCTCGTCTAGAGAATAAATGATATACTCCTCAGCATCGCCTCCTATGCCACTTAACCATCTGGCCTCACGCTTCTTTCACTGAACTTTGGCCAGCCATACTGGAATTTGTATTTATCTTTTCTCAAATACAGCACAAACTCTCAATTGCCTGCTCCCTCCTTCCACTCTACACCTAAATCAACTCTCAAATTTCTTTTTTTAATTACTATTGTTGTGCTGGGGATACATTGTGACATTTACAAAAGTTCTTACAATATATCATATTTGAATTCAGCCCCTCTTTAAATTTCTTAATATCTGATTTAAGTGTTATCTCCTCCATGTAATTTTTGCCCTTTCATCCATCTACCGTATCCATCTGTCCTCCTATTCAACCAGTGTTAGTGTCTACTATGATCCAGGCCCCATGCTAGGCTCGGTAACACAACTATGAATAAGAGAAACATGGCCTCGCTACCTTTACAGGTGAGAGACGTGTTCTCATACTGATGGATGGTGGGTCACTTTTTGGATTGAGGACATGTTTTGTTTGATCTATGTTGTATTTAAATTTCTTTCTTTTTTGGAATTTTCTAATAACTCTTAAAAATCAGAATTTTAAAAAATCCAGTATGGCCACCAGATTTCTATATTAAATTTCTATATTTTTCTGCATTCCCTTGTGGCAGCAACTCTATGGATCTGAGTGGAGGTGGTACTTTTCAGATGGAGTCTGCGCGCTCAGATGGCCCCTGGTGACATTTCAGTTTTAACCCCTGGACTGAGGAGGAGGCAGAGAATTAAACAAATAATTATAAGTAATTATGTAACTACAGTGTAATAAAAATATACCAGAATTAATTGTTCCCTTTGCTCTTCCTTCCACAGATTACTTTGACCTTTTTTGGGATTGCTATAACTACAAAATAAAAGGTTTAATATATTGCATATGTAATTTGGAAAGTGTGTAAAATTGGGAGTTTGTCCTATTTTAATAACTGCATAGACAATAGTATTTAGACATTACTTGTGTTCTCAGAAAATTTATATTCCATTATCCTTACAAGAGACTTTGCTAAATAGGGCCTGATCAAATAGAGATTATAGAACATCAATTAATAACAGGTTTCAAACAAAATTCTAATGCATTAGCAAAATGGTATGGTTGTATTTTTTGGGGGTAAATCATAAAAGAAAGAATGAACTGATGAACTCTACCTCAAAGGCATAATCTGTTGTTTTCCCAGAAGGTGGAAGTCCAGGAGCTAGAAATGCAGAAATTAGCATCAGAATAAACCTTAAAAATAAAGCATAAATATTGCTTTCTGATAGTATAACCCAGTGGTGAACATAACCTTTTTTTTTTTTTTTTTAATGGTACTGGGGTTTGAACTCAAGGTCTTGAATTTGGTGCAAGCAGTCAAACCCTTTTGCTTCAGTTTGTGTTTTAGATCAGGTCTAGCATTTTTGCCCAGGGCTGCCTTGGAATGTGACCTCCTACATCTGCCTCCTGAGTGGCTGGGATTACCAGTGAGAACCACCATTCCCGGCCCTATAAGCATGCTCTTGAAGCCTTGCCACCTAGCCCTTTTTTGTGTGTCTGGTATTTTTGAGATAGAGTCTCATGAACTATTTGCCTGGGTTGACCTCAAACCAATCTCCTCCTGATCTCTGCTTCCTGAGTAGATAAGATTATAGGCGTGAGCCACCAGCACCTGGCTAAAATATATATTTTTTAAGTTTTGTGGTGGCACATCAAATTAAAGTCAATATTTGCATTTAAGGTAGAATATAATGCTTGTTTGATGTTGATTTTGTGAAAATGAAGTGATTTGAAATATTTTCTCCACTGAAATTAAAAATTTTTTTGGGAAACATGTAAAAAATTCCTCTAGAGTCTAGAGAGTTGGGTTATTGTTTGAGAATTACTACTAGTAAAATACTTAAAGTCCTGCTTATATTCTTAATCAACTGAATAATTCAAATTGAGAATTTTTTGGGGGGGGTTGGCGGAGTGGCTCAAGTGGTAAGAGGGTCTGCCTAGCAAGCATGAAGCCCTGAGTTCAGACCCCAGTGCCATAAAAAAAAAAAAGTATTTTTTCACAAAGGTAACAGCATAGCAATATAGTCACATTTTCACTTGCTGACCGAAAAAAATCTAGTTTTCTTGGTGATATTTAACAAAAACTTTTATAAAGTATGTTTCTTTGCAAAGTATCAGTTTTTTTTTTTTTAATTTTGGTTGTACTGGGGTTAGGATTCAGGGCCTCATACCTCACACTTGCTAGGCAGGCACTCTACCACTTGAGTCACTCCACCAACTCTGCTTTTGTGTTGAGTATTTTCAAGACAGGGTCTGTGTATCCTAAATAGCTAGAATTACTGGTGTGAGCCACCAGCACCTGGCTAATACCAGGTTTCAATTATGGCAAAAAACAACTTTCTGGCCTGGTGTGGTGGCTCCTACTGTAATCTCAGCTACATGGGAGGCAGAGATAGGGAGAATCACAGCTCGAGGCCAGTCTGGGCAAAAAGTTAGTGAAACACCATCTGAACAAATAAGCTGGGTGTAGTGGCATGTGCCTGTCATCTCAGGCTTAGGTAGAAGAATCATCATCTGGGCAAAACCAGCAACCTTATCCTTAAAAAAATCTAAAGGGCTGGGGAGGCTGCTCAAGTGGTAGAGCACCTACCTAGCAAGTGGGAAGCCCTGAGTTCAACCCACAGTACTGCCAAAAAACCAAAAAACCCCAAACAATTTCTGTCATATTGGAGCAACAAGATAATCTCATCAATGAATTTTATCTTTGTTTTTTTCATCTACTTAGTTATAATCAGTCCTGGTGAATCACAGATAAATAAAAGTCTACAGAATAATTTTTACTACTTTTTTGTTACTGTTATTGTTAAAGAAAAAGAGACCAGGAGTAGACAGCAAAGGTACCCTTATCAAAAGTCAAATTCCTCCAGGCTTTAAAGTAGTACTACTGCTGCTACCACCACTACTCATTCTAAAAGGAATAATTTGGGTCCTAGAAAACTGTGAGATTATATTTCTGTATGTTATTAATTTTATCCCCCTAAATAGAAAATTTCTGATTCTTTGTTGAAACCAACCAAGGACTGGAGCAAACCAGCTGCAGGCAAAATTCTACCTCTGTTCCTGAAAGCCTTAAAGACTGGGCATCCAGTCATGGATGGTGGCTAGTGACCGGGTGGCCCTGGGGGCAGGAAATAGGCCTTGGTTATTCACTCTGTTCTTTCAAATAGGCCTCTACTTAGGATCCTTGATGGCCAGGACGCCTCCTTCCCCTCCCTCTCCCGTTTCCATCTGACCTTTTCTTCTAAGAGGCAAAATCAGTTTTTGTGTCAATAATTCACATGACATTCTGGGAACATGCTGAAGCTACAATGAGCTTCCTGGTGCTCTGCAGAGAATGGAGTCTGGTAACAATCAAGACATTGGTGAGAACTGAAAACTTTTGTCATTATTTTTGATTATTAAGAAAAAGATTGGTATTTTAAGAATGGACGCAAACAAGTTTTTCCTTCTAGGAACCACCTTATTCTGTAGCCTTTGGCTTTTAGAGATGTCTTACAACTCTGATGATTTCTGTTTGACAAAGCTAGATAGTCTCAAAATTCTATCATCAGTGCATTTTTGTTTCTATTTAAAATAGATAAAAGCATTATAAATAGCATTAAATATAGATTTGAGCCAAACACATAGTCAGTAGCATGCAATCGGCTAACCCTTGCATAGTTGGAGCTACAGATGACAAATTTCTTTTTTTTTTTTTCATTTTTCTTTTATTATTCATATGTGCATACAAGGCTTGGTTTATTTCTCCCCCCTGCCCCCACCCCCTCCCTTACCACCCACTCCACCCCCTCCCGCTCCCCCCCTCAATACCCAGCAGAAACTATTTTGCCCTTATCTCTAATTTTGTTGTAGAGAGAGTATAAGCAATAATAGGAAGGAACAAGGGGTTTTGCTGGTTGAGATAAGGATAGCTATACAGGGCATTGACTCACATTGATTTCCTGTGCATGGGTGTTACCTTCTAGGTTAATTCTTTTTAATCTAACCTTTTCTCTAGTTCCTGGTCCCCTTTTCCTATTGGCCTCAGTTGCTTTAAGGTATCTGCTTTAGTTTCTCTGCATTAAGGGCATTAAGTAGCATGCAATCGGCTAACCCTTGCATAGTTGGAGCTACAGATGACAAATTTCTTAGAGCAAAGGGAGCCAGTTTTGTCAGCCTCCCTCCCATGTGCCCTGCTTTCCTTGCTTTATGCTAATGTATCACACATGCCACCTGTAGAAAGCAAAATCATGACTGGTATAAAAACACAAAAGGTATTACCTTGGGAGTAAGTGTGAGAATGAGCTGGGCACTGGCATCTAAGGAAAAGGAAAAGGAAAAGGAAAATGAAAAGGTAACGTGAAACTGGAAACCAAAACAAATGAGAAGCTGTGAAGTAACTCTCACATAGCCATAAGAGACTATGAATTGGTAGCTATTGGCAGGCACTGTACAATAGGAAAAAAAAAACATAGAAATCACAAAAGACAAAAAGTTGAGCCAGAGTCTTTCCAGAGCTAAGGGATCATTTTTCCATAAATTTGTTTTTTCAAGCAGTACCTATTAAATGTCTGCAGACAGCTGAGATAAGCACTCTGGGAATGCACATAGGTTTAAGACAGGGTCCCCGGTTTGTTCAGTTCCCAGCTTTGACCAAATTGTCCTGAGGTTAACTGTCCCCTGACTCTTCTTGTCATCCCTCCATGATGGGAAACTTTTCTTGTACTTATCCCACATCTTCAAGGTGTTTAGTTTTTCTTCAATCAGGCTCCGAACCTCCATGAAGTCCTCCCTGGACCCACAGGTCTCCCTGGTTACCAAGGCAGTCTCCACTGCATTGCAGCCTCAAGCTCAGTGTACTTCTTTGTCCCTGGGCGGTCCCCAGAGCACTCATACTTGGTGGCACTTGTGTTTCCTGAAGCCCATCACCTCTTCTAACTTCTCAGTTGGCTTCTCCACAGATTTTGTACATCCTCTTGTTTTGGGAACGCTCCCTCCCTTCCCTGTCCCAGTCGTCTATTTTTTGGTTAGTCTCTTCTCTGGCTTCTCTTTTTCTGTTCAGTTTTGTTTCTTTTTTATGGCCCAGAGTGTCTTCTCATAGTGCTGTCTTAGTAGCTACTTGAGTGAGTGCATGACCTCCTTTTCACCCTACCCCGCCAAAATTCAAATTTGGAATTAAAATATCCAAGCGGGGAAACCCCTGGAGGAAGGAAAAAATAGGTTTCAATGGCTCTCAAGATCTCAAAACTTCCTGAGACTTGAGGTCAAGTCAGACATAAGTCAAGGCTGCCACCTAGTGGTCCCCAAGGGGACTTATGAAAATATGCCAGGTCAGGCAGAGGCTTGTCCCTCACAGGTGGGTTTTACTTCCCACAACTTGACCTTGAGCCTTCCAAGGACAAGAGAAGAGAAGCAAAGGGAAGAAAAATATCCAAACTCAAAGCTTTCCAGAGTGAATGCTCCTGGGAGCACATGCTTCCTCTTCCCACCCTTTCTCTTGCTATTTTTTTTTCAAGCTCTGATGCTACTCCTTTTTTTTTTTATTCCAAGCTCGTTTCTACTTCTTATATGTGACGTTCCTGTCCTGTCCCCTCCTTCCCTCTGAGGACTTCCATCTGTATTGTATTTCCTAGCGTTCCCTCCTCACTCAGCCCTTCTTATCATACCTGATTTTTTCATGCCTGTTTATTTCTGATTCTCCTCCACTGGCCTGCATTTGCTGGCTCCACTGCCTCACCTCCTGCACATTCCTTGGCCCCTGAAACCACAGTGTTTGCAAATCCCTGCTCTTGGGTTGGCTCCTTGCTTCTCAGACCTTTTAGCACCTCACTCTCACAGCACCCTACTGAAGAGAGCCATTCCCACCTTGAAATTTTATCCACTTTCCTCTTGGTTGGGTAAAATTCTTTCTTTGGCTTCCAGGACTCCCTGCTTGTCCAAATTTCCTCTTATTATTCCTTCTCTGGCCCCTTCTCCACTCTGCTCATTCCTTAAACGTTGAGTTCCGTCCTGGGCCTTCAGCCATTCTGACCCTTCCTTCTTCCTTACCTTTTATAGTCTACCATGCACCAAGGGTCCTGGCATTTCTCCACCTGAGTTCGCCCACTTCTCTCCTGGTCCTTGCCACTCTCTGGTTCTGCTGTCATCACTTCCAGATTTCTACTAACTTCCTCAGTGGTTTCTCCCAGCTGCCCCTTTGCTACCTCTATTCCTCACGTTGTGATCAGGGGCATATTTTTCAATGATGTGACTCTCTTGTCTAAAGCTGAGTCCTTGGCAAATAAAGTTCAGACCTGGCCCTGGCTGACTGACCCTGTTTTCTCTAGCTTGGCTTCTCAACTTGCTCCATCTCTGAGTTTTAGCTTCTAGAAAACCAATTTCTTTTCCTTGAATGAGCCACAACCTCTCTCCTTCCCTCCCCGCTCCAGAACTTTACCCTGGAATGTGTTTTCCCTGGAATGTGTTTTCTTTCCTGTTCTACCCAGTAGCTGTCGTTCTTTCCAGTCAGCTCCCCAGGGCACTCTCTTCTGAGGCCCAAGGCCCTAGGTAGATCCCCCTTCTCTGTGATCCACAGTGCTGCACCTCCCTCACTGAAACTGCTGTCAAGTCTCACTCCACACCTCCAGGCTTGCCTCTCCAATCTATACTGCCACTTTCTGTTATCTATAAAACACAATTTACATTCTTAGACTAGGTCTGAGAACAAGAACTGTGAAGCTGGAGTATCTGGGTTCCAATTATGGCTATGTCATTTGCTTAGCTATCTGACACTGGACAAGTTCTTTCCTTCATGCCTTTATTTTTTTTACTTATAATAGAACATAGGTTGTCATCAGCAGTAGTTACTGCCACTAATTCTACATGTAAAGTGTATGAACAGTACCTGTCACATGGGAAGTATACAGTTAAGTGTCAGCTATTTTCTCATTCATGGTCTTTCACCATGTGTCTTCTCCATTCTCACCTCTTGTAGGAAGATAGGCCAAGACTTTATTTTTGGATCCTGGAACTGCACCCCTCCCTCTGGTGCTGCACCCCTCCCTCTGGTGCTGCTTCTCCCTCTGTCTGGAATTCCTCTCTACTTCTCCTATTTTTCTTGCTCTCAAGGCTCCAAGTTCTCCTATTTTCCCAGCCCATTTGTGCACTTGTACACTCCACAAATATTGATCAGGCAACTTTGTACCTGGTCTTTGTTAGGGGGAAGTCAGTTGTGTGGTAACATTTAACACTGGATTCCTTGTACATGTCAGAAGACTAACTCCTGGGGTTTCTTCCTTTCCATCTTCCACCTTGTGAGAATCAGCTTAGGTTGGGTTTTTTTCTGTCAAAGGATTTAATTAGTAACTACATCTGTTACAAATGTTAGTCTCACTAACTCTCTTCCTCCTAAACTCATTCATGGACTCTGATTAACCTGATAAAAGTTTCTATTAAGAACAAAGGATTGTTATTCTCAGCCAGACAAAATTCTGCTAGATGCCCTGGTTCCGGAGCTGATAACCTAAAACAGTTATTGCTTCTCTGAGCTTTTGAACTTCTTTGTCTTGAAAACCCCCTCCTGATATCCCCTTTCCGATTAGCCAACCGTGAAGACTGTGAACCCAAAATCTGCCCCATTCAGGGGAGGGCAGCATTGCATTAGAGATAAAACCCCAGCAGATACCATGCTGGATGTGCTTGCTTTGTCTGGTGCACCCTTCTACAGAAGTCAATTTGCCTTGCCTGTTGTCTTCTGAGTTGTGTCGTCTCTCTCTCATGACACCTCAATATCGTCTCTCTCTCATGACACCTCAATATCTTAAAGGTATTTCTAACAACCAGCTGTGATCCTCAACAAGCAGTTTTATGTCTGTCCCCTCATCCGATCCCCCTGTACTTTGCTGCAGATCCTTTTCTGGTTGTATCCTGAGCATCAAGCATAGTTGGTGGACCTAACACATACGTGTCGCCTGGATGTTAATTTGTCTTGGCCACTGTGCCAAGTTCTGCACTGCCTGTCACGGTGTGGGGCCTGGTTGTCTTTGGACCCAGTTGCTCTCATGGTGGATAAACGGGATAAAACCTGTCTCACCGCTCGGAGCGGCCCGGCGTCCCTACAAGTCCCGAAGGAACCGGGTCCCGCCCGCCGCCCACACTCACGCTGCGCGTTGCAGGAGCCTCAGCAGGTGCGCGACTCGGGCCCGGGTGGCCGCCATGGCTGCGCCGGTCCTCCCCGCTCCCAATCCCGTCCCGCCGCCCTCCTTCCGCCCCTCGGCCCCCGCCGCGCAAGGTCACTGGGCCCGCGGTGGCTCAGTGCCAGTTCCCAGGACTCGGAACCAAGCTGCCAAGTCTCCCTTCACCGGAGGGTCGTGGATACTGCTCTAAACCTCACCATTTTTCAAACATCGGGGACTTGAGGAAAGGGGTAGGAGAGCGCAGTTTTTTTTTCCCCACTCTGAATTCTTTAACATGTTACTTTGCCTTCGAAGTACTTTCAGAGTAAATTATCAAGACAATACATTTATACTTCTGATGGTAAACTAGAATCATGCAAAAAGGCCTCACTGCAAAACCAAGAAAGCCTAAAAGCAAAATTCCCAAACAAAACAAGCGATAAATTCCTCCAACTTAAGAACTCTGAATAGTTTTGCCTTTGATTCAAGTTGTTCAAGTTTCATGGGTTGTTAGAGCTTGCCATGGTTATACCGTACTGAGGGTATCTTTTTTTTTTTTTCAATCCATGTTTTATTTTTGGCGGCGCTGAGGTTTGAACTCAGGGCCTCATCATTGATGGACAGGCACTTACCGCTTGATCCACTCCCCCAGTTCCCCCACACTCCCGTACGTAGTGAGGGTATCTTACCTATTTCCCAGTGGAAAAGTTCATTCATGATGGCAAAGTTCAGTTACCCAAAGGCAGTAACAAACATTTGCATTCCAGTAACCCTATTATGAAATGAGTTAAATCTTTTCATATCTTCTAAAAGTAACCTTATACAAAATGAGACATTAAGAAAATGGATGACAAAACGAATTCCCAACTTTAATTTCCTAGTAAGTCAGACCAAAAAGAGCAGATGGATATTTAGCTCTACAGCACTAAAAAAGCCTGATTCCGGACTTACTGCGAGTTAATTTTCAGAAGATAGTTGCGTAGAAATAAACTTAGTAAGATCAAAATAAGACTGATGAAGAGTTAAGACTGAGGAGAGCTATGAACATTTCACCTTCTAATCAAACCAGCACAGGTCAATTTGACAAATGAGTCACAAGACAGTGATGTTCCAATTAAGTATTTTTTGGGTCTCTTTTTAACCAAAACGGACACTAACTCAAGCTGAAAAAAAAAACAAAAACAAAAAAAAAAACCGGGGTTACAAACATTAAGACTCAAGTGTTTTCTGGATCGACAAGGTTAATTACCATTATTTTTAGTGTAGTCCTAATTTATCATTTATAACAATGTACTCTGTGTTGGCAAGTAAAGTCGTTTTTTACAGACATCATCTGTACTATGCTTTTAATATATTTAATATCCAAAGAACTGTGAGTTTTCCTAACAAAAATAGACTTGCTGAAACCATGTAACTGCTTTGTTTTTAAGAAAGTATACAGAAATAACCTGTACTGGTAAGCTAGGCCATGTGTAATTTCTACCAACGGTTAAAAAATTGTAAGCAACACTAGATCCAGGCACCTTTATTAAATAACCTTTACAAGTTACTTGTAAATCCACTTTGGAAAACGTAACCTCCCTCCGTTTGATAAATATGTAAGCTTGTTATAAAAACAATGTAGAAATGTATAAATCAATTCACTTTAAGTCTCTGAAACAAGAACAGCTCTCACCCATGTCCAAAATTAAAATGATTCGACCAAATTATTTCCCTAATTCCTATGTCCTCGAATACACCCTTAATCTCCAGCCAAATCTGGGTTGTGGGGAAGACATTAACATAGTCCAGTACTAACACAGTCTCTTGAAGGGAGTACTAGTCTGTTCCTGCAAGCTCAATGAAGGCTGCGACCACCTCCTTCTGCGCCCAGTGCAATATCCAGAACGTCACATTTAGCATATAGTCCTTGCTTTACAGAGCAAGTCCCGGCGAAAGCATTACTTCCTCTTCTTCCCTCCTTGGGGCTGTACTCCCTTCCTTTTGCCTCCCAAGCCAGGCGGCCTGGAAGGCATCTTGCCTCCTGGGCCTCCCTTTCTTTTCCCTCCTTGGCTGGGCGGGCCGCCTTTCCTCTTGCCCCCAGGGCCCTGCCGCCCACCTTTCCTCTTGCCCTTCTGGCTCATTTGCCTCCTTTTGGCAGCCGCCTCCTGATCTTCCTCCCTCATCTGCTTATTGGTGGCCCTCGTCACGTCCAGCTGAGGCTTCTTGCTGTTCATGACTCGAAGAAGCTCCAGTTGGTTCTTTTTCTCGGCTGCAAAGTCCCCGAAAAGGGGCTGAAACTTCCTCTTCTTGCCGGAGCCCCGAGGCTCCTTCTCTTTGGGGAGGCGCTCCTGGAAGCGCCCCACGGAAGCGGTGGAGACCTTGGCCACTTGCATGGCGCGGCCCAGCTCCTCCTTACTCTGGTGTCCCGTAGGGTGCAAGCCGGCAGTGCTGGGCATTTGCACCTTGTGGGCGCGGGCCAGGTTACGCAGCCGGTTCAGCTCGTTCTTGGCCACGCGTTCCTTTTTGGCCTGAATCCGCTTGGCGAACTGGTCTTCCATGGGGTCGGCGCCCCCAGGCACCTCTATCAGCCATTCCTTCGTGTCGTCCCGGGCGCGCTTGTAGCCCCAGCGGCGCCGCCACTGTCCGGTCACTTCGTCCCACACCAGATTGGTCTTCTTCTTGGGACGGATACCTTTGAGGCGCGCGAACTGCTGCCAGCGTGTAAGTGGTCGCGGTCGGGGCACGGGCTTCTCCCGCGGCAGGCGGGTGGTGGGCTCCGGCAGCCGCGCCACCAGCGCCTCCTCCACGCGCTCCGTAGGCAGTTGCCACATTTGGTTGATGAGCAGCTGCGTGTTGTCCCGAGCCAGGGCTCGCAAGTCGGCCTCCTGCGTGGGTCCTGCCCGCCGCAGCGTGGTCGGGGGGTTCCGATCTGAAGCCAGCAGATTGCCCAGGTCAAACTCCAGCTCAAGCTCCTTATGCACCGTGATGCACCGCAGCTTTTCTGCCTCGTCCTGCTCCGCCTTTACCAGCAGCGCCTCCACGCTCTGGCCCTCCATAGCTCCGGCTGAGCTTCCTCACTTTTTGGCTGCAGTTGAAGTTGCCTCTCAAGAGCTGCACCCAAAGACTCAGCACTGAAACCACGTGTGGAAGTCGGACACTCAATGCGGAAGAGAAAGATTCACTTCCGGGACACCCGGAACCGGCTCAAAATCCGGGTGACCGAAGTAAAAGCCAGCAGAGGGCGGCATTGGAGAGGTTATGGGCTTAGGGGCGGGACCTTCTGGCTCGAGCCGGATGTGGGCGGAGCTGGCCTGAGAGTACGGACAAGGAGTTCCAGGGCCTGGATGCGACTGCGACTCCCAGGATGCCGCGGGGCGGGGGAGGGGGTGGAGGAGAGGGGGTGTAGGGGTGGCGGTGTCCGGGTGGGCGCGGGCTCGTCACGTTGCTGGGGTTACGGATTGTGTAGGCTCCAGGTCGAGGGGTGTTACGGTTTCGGTGTAAGTGTATTGTAAATGAAGTGGCTTGATAAATTATTTCGCCAGTCATAACCCTTTCTCGATGACATCCCACAGATGTGCCTGTCATATGCCAGACGCTAGATGCAAAGATAACCGAGACCTTGGAAATTTACCATACAGTGTGATTAACTTTTTTTTTTTTTTCATTGCTGCAGATCAAACCCAGGGGCCTTGTACGTGCTAAGCAGGGGCTCCACCACTGAGCTGTATTCCCAGCCTAGTGTGATTGAATTTTCAATAGGAAGAACAACTGTGTAGGATTTAGCTCCTCTGTCACTCTTCTGAATTAGGGGAAAAAAAGTGTAGGAGTTGTTGGTTCTTTCTCACTGGATGAAATGCTATTTGGTTTGGTAGCAACCATTGTGAAACTGCTCATTAAGAAAAGTGAAACAGTAGGGAGATTCCTTTCCTCCAGACCCACTCCAAGGGGAAAAAAAGCAAAAAACAAAACAACAAGGATAAGAAGGCTAAAGATATAAAAGTAATACTTTTCATCTTCCCTTAATAGATAGGTGCTACTTTGGTCAGAACAACCTTTTTTTTTTTTGATTATTTGGAGATGGGTGTCTGAGAAACTGTTTGTCCCTGCTGGCCTTGAACTGTGACTCTCATGATCTCAGCCTCCTAGGTAGCTAGGTTTACAGGCATAAGCCACTGGAGCCTGGCTTAATTGCCTCTTTCTGATAGCAGAAATTGTTAAGGATATTCCAGCCATTCTTTAATTCTGTAGTGGATGTAGTTTTATTATTTTTTTGAGTATTTTTGTCTAGAAAATTTTATGTAGAACATTCAATGTGCTGGTAATTTAATAAAGCAGCAGAAAAGGGCCCTTACAACACTTACATTATTTCCGCGTAGCTCTTTCTTACTGACTCATAATTTTATTTTGGAAGTACTTCAGTGAAAAATTTAATTTTGAGAATTTCTTAATCATAGATAAAATTTGTGTTCAAGTGCTTCAGTTTTAGTCAGAACTTGTACTAAAAATCCTGTTATTTTAAAAAGAAAGAAGATATGGCAATAAGATTTTGTATAGCTGGTCTAGAAGCAGATGGAATAACTATCTAACATCGTACATTTATAGCAGTAAAAATTATGTTGGCTTTTTGTAACTGATGTAAGTTGTTTTGCTTTCTTTAAAAGACATTACGGTTTTTGCTTTCCAAAACTTGGTCAATGGGGGTTTCCACATGTGCCACGGATCTTATCCCTGCCTTTAATATGGTGTCACTGGTTGATGTTTCTTATTCATAAAACATCATTACCATGTCCTAAGAAAATGAGACTTGTGGTAACTTTTAGATTTTCACCTCTGAAAGGAGGCCAATATGTGAGTGAGAGATTTATGTATAAAGGAAAGCTGAAGTTCCAGAATTTTAGAGGCGTTTGCACTCAAAGTATCCAATAGCATAGGAAATTTAGATCTATTCATTAAACTGCTATTTTAATTTATAAAAGTAAAATTGCAATGATTAAGAAATTCTTCTACATTTTTCTTAATAAAATAGGAACTTTTTGTAAATTGTTTTAGAGTAGATTTAATCAAGATTAGGCAATTGAGTCCTGAATAGTTTCCCTGAAGGAAAGCAACCTTTTTGCCACACAGACTTTAATTTGTCTTTGTAATTATAGACCATGTATGAACACACCCTAGTCCTTTCGGAATAAAGTACCTGCTGATCAAATTTTTCTTCTAAATCCCACATGACAAATATTAAGACTACACAGGGCAGTTATGACTAAGCCTAATAAACATTAATTCTTAGTCCCTGTTAACCATAGAATGTTTCTAAAGATTAATTAACCTATTATGTTTCAGAACACATCTATGAAGAGTGAAAACAATGATAGGAAAAGTAAAACTATGACCACTTATGTGGAAAAATCTGTAGCCTATACTTTTCTTTTTCCAGGTGTCAAGCAAAAGACAAAGCCACCAAAAGAAAGAGCCTCTTGGTGGCAAGTCGGTGTCACTGTATTCTTGTCAGCATCCCTGGGCTCTGCAGTCTGATCTGGTCCGAGCCACTTGGTTATGTAGCAGGTCCAGTGGTTTGAAGCTGCGTACTTTCCCCAAGGACTGAATAGGGCTTACCATTTAGAATATGTAAATAATAACCTTGGCATTCCCCAATATTTATTTTCCTTTTTCATTATGTAAGACAGTGTACATTTCTAGCTGAGGAAGCTGACTTCTTATGGTGGGTTTTGGGTACCCTTCCTTTGAAAGCCTGTGGTCTTTACAGTTTAGGTCTCAGGCTTTAGCTTATTCATCTGGAAAATTAAAGTCTTTGACTAGTGACTTTTATAGTTCATCTCTGTGATATTTTACTTTTGTTAAAAACCTACATGAGGCACTGGTGTCTCATACCTGTAGACCTAGCTATTCAGGAGGTGGAGATAGGGAGGATCATGGTTGAGGGCCAGCCTGGGAAAAAAGTTAGTGAGACCCCACTGCAACAGACAAGCTGGGTGTGGTAACACACATCTGTAATCTAGTTACTCAGGAGGCATAAGTAGGAGTACTATGGTCTGAGGCCACCCTGGACAAAAAGCACAAGACCATATCTGAAAAATAACTAAAGCAAAAAAGGACTGGGAGCATGGTTGAAGTAGAGTGCCTGCCTAGCAAACATAAGGTCCTGAGTTCAAACTCCATACCGCTCCTTCCTCCCCACCCCCCCAAAAAAGCCATGCAGAGAATAATAAACTTACTGTCAGGTAGCAGTGTTAACGTGTTGTTTCCCACATGGCACTTTGAGAAAGGCCTTCACTTAGGCTCTCATTTATATTCAAGAGTCATCATTGTATTCTAGAGCCTTTCAGTGCTAATGTGAAAGGGAGGAGAGTGGAAAGGAGGTGTCACTGGGGATGATACTTTGAGATGTTGGAGGATTTGAAAGCAACCCTAGATTATATTTAAGTGATGATTTGGTTTTTTGTTTGTTTATTTTTGGAGACAGGTACTTGTATAGCCAGGCTAGCCTTGAACTTGTGATCCTTCTTCCTCAGCTTCCTGAGGGTGGGAAAACAGGCACTATAAAATCATAGAATCCCTTATCATCCTCTCTCTTCTCTTCATGAGAGTTTTTACTTTTCCCTCTCATAGATAAAAGTTGTTAACCCTTTCATACACACTGCTATATAAGAAAATACACACACATACATATAGTTTAAAAACAGGATGATATTCTTTAAGTTTTGTCTCATGATTTTCCTTTTTTAGTAATGAATATTAATTGGTATTGGTTAGGTTGAACCATAGTAACTTCATGCCGAATTATAGTGGCTTAAATATATAAAAATTATTTTTCATTCGTATTTCATGCATTGGTGGAGGGGGTATCTCTGCTCTTAGTCAGGGCCTATGCTGTTGAAGGTTTCATATCCTGTAATTGTACCATCCTTGTTTGCTTTCACAGGAGAAGTACAAGTAGAAAGAAGGACATTAGCTTTTTGCCTCTCAGCCCAGAAATGACACGTCACTTTCCCTCCATGCCCATTGGCCAGAACTAGTCATATGGACTTACCTAATTGTAAGAGGTATTAGAAACAAGAGTAAATGTAAGACACAGTATTAACTATCTCTGACAATGTCTTACAGCTATTTCAGTATCAACAGACATAAATCTACTAAGTGTTTAAGATAACTGCATAGCATTCTGTGATATGAACGTATCACAATTTAGTTAACTATCCCCATGGATGGACGTTAGAGACATCTCATTCTTATACTGTGTACATTCCTTTTTGTTTGTTTTTTTGTTTTTTGGTGGTACTGGGGTTTGAATTCAGGGCCTCACAGTAGCTAGGCAGGTGCTCTACCACTTGAGCCACTCTGCCAGCATACACTGTACATTCTTACACTGTTGCTTGAATATATTTGCATATATATATTTATACTTATATGGTATAGATTCTGAGTAATAGAATACCTGGATCAAAGGGTACCCACATATTTAGGTTTTTTGGGGAGGTTTGAACTTGTGCTTGCTAACCAGGTGATCTGTCATGTGAGCCATGTCCTAGCCCTTTTTTGATTTCATTATTTTTTCAGATACTCTTTGCCAGGGGTCAACTCCAACTGTGATCTTTCTACCTATGGCTCCCTGGTAGCTGGGATTACAGATGTGTAGACACTATGCCTGGCTCCCTTGTTTTTTTGTTTTGTGTTTCTTTTTTCAGTGCCAGGGATGGAATCCAGTGCCTTGTGCATGCTATACTGCTGAGCTACATTCCCAACCTCATGCAAAGTTCTCTTTTCTTTCTTTTTTTTTGTGTGTGGTGGTACTAGGGTTTGAACTGAGGGCCTCATGCTTGCTAGGCAGGTGCTCTACTACTTGAGCCATGCCCCCAGCTCTTTTTGCTTTAGTTATTTTTTTTTAAGTTTTAGCAAAGATTTATTTTAGTACAGGATAAAGTGAGAGGTTGGACAGGGAGAGAGAAAAACATTTCCTGCTCCACATACAGGAAATGGGAGTAAAGACTCCTGCTTTGATTACTTTTTTTCTTGTTTTATTATCATCATCATCATCATCATTTTTATCATTATTGTTGTTGTACTGGGGGTACATTGTGACCTTTATCAAA